TTAACGTCCTTATTAGCCAATCTATAGCTCTTACAGTTTTCCTTAATTCTATCATTCTGTTACTTTTTAAAGCACTCTTTTTTTGCCTTAACTACCGCTTGAACCTCTTCCCTCCACCACCAAGATCCCCTAGAGCTGGGTCCCGTTCCTTTGGACTCTCCAAGCACGTCCATTGAGATTCTCCTCATACAATTGGCCATTGAGTTGCACATAGTGTTAGTATCATCTTTCAAGTCTCAAGTACCTTCCTTATCCATTTTATCCTTAAATATTTCTAGTTTATCCCCTTTTAGGTCCCACCATTTCGTTCTATGACGCCCACCATTCTTCCTAGCTTGGTATTGCCCTCTAAAATATAAATCTAGTACCAAAATCCTATGTTGAGAGGCCATGCTCTCTCTAGGAATCACCTTACAATCATTACATTTTAGGCGGTCCACTTTTCTTACTAAGAAGTAATCTATTTGGTTCTTAACTGACCCACTTTTAAAGGTTATAAAATGCTCATCCCTCTTTTTATACATAGTATTGCCCACCACCAGGTCAGAAGCTAATACAAAATCTAAGATACTCTCTTCAGTTTCATTTCTGTCACCAAAACCGTACCCACCATGCACTATTTCATAGCCTAATTTATCTATGCCTACATGGCCATTAAAATCTCCGCCTATAACCAGGTTCTCTTTACTATTTAGTTTATTGTAATGAACATAAAATGAAATTATCTTTATATTAGAATGTTTATTTTTATATTTTGTTCACTAAAAAATTATGCAAAACACATTATAAATAGAATTATTATTTACCATTATAAATAAAGGGTTTGGCTTTTCCTTCAGTCTGTGATTGGACTGGAGGCTGCTAGTGGGCCCGTGGAGGTTCATCATAGGTTCTGTTTCGATAATCCGAACCTTTAATGTGTAAAACTCGTTGAGTACTACATGCCTGTAAAAAAATCACGTTGATAAGATATTGATAGTTATGTGATTAAATTAGATTTTTGTCAACCATTTATTTTTTTTTTATACAAAACTGATTTGATCACGTAACTATCGATATTCGATCGACGTGATTTTTTTCCAGGTATATAGTACTTGACGAGTTCTACACATTAACGATTCGAATTATCAAAACAGGACCCATGATGGACCCCTACGAACCCAACAACATCCTCCAATTCGATCACAGACTGAAAGGCAACTAGACCCATAAATAAATCACTACTTCATAAAGATACTAGTGAGCATTTAATTCTATTCCACTTTCATTCGGAGTAATCCCAGTATAACATTAGTTTATTGACTCCTGAAGTCTAAGTAAATTTTGATCCCTCATAATTTCATTAGTTTATTGACTCCTAAAGTCTAAGTAAATTTTGATCCCTCATAATTCAAAGATTGTTACTTATTTAATTTTAAATTAATAAATTTAAATTTGTCACTCTAATTTTTTTCCTTGTTTTGTTAGGAAATTTGAACGTATAAAGAAAAAGTAAAGTATAAATTACAAAATAACCCAAAATTTTGACTATTATAATTGTAGGACAATCTTCACTGTATTTAAATTAATTAAATTCTGCCACCAAAACTCCATTTCCATGGAGCACACTTTGGCTTCAATTTCCCATTCACTCGGTAATGGTTTTGAGCAACCAAATTTACCACGTGAATCACAACGCGACATAGAACGCGTTACCACTTTGACCCGTGAAAATCGACGCACGGGGCTCATCTAAAAAATAGACCAAACTTATGAAAAAATTATGGTTTTATTCAGAATTTTATAACCATTTCTAACAATAATAAGTTAGACCTCAAATTTTAAAATTTGCCTATTAAATTAGATATAGTCATATGTTTTTTTTTTTTTTTCATTTTATCAAAAGCTATAGTCATATGTTAATACTACATTTAAAGAAAAAAAGAACAATGCAACACTTTTTTAAACTATATTTAGGTTTGCAGTGAATGTGACACTTTTAACCTTTCAAAAATTATATTATGAGTTCGGAACAAGACGTGACTATTATGCTTTTGATCAATAATTTTTTTGATTTACCTATCTTATTTTTTATTTTTGAAATCACTGTTAACATGCAACCAACTTCAAATTCTTAAAAATATATTTTTATTTTTTCTTTTTTTATCTTACTTTTCTTATTTTTAATTGTTTCTCAATTAATAACTCTATTCTTTTTTTGAACGGAATTAATAATAATAATAGCTCTACTCTGTCTAACCATTACACCACCCCCATGTCACTCTCAATCATCACCACTTAAGAACAGCAAAATACCCTGACCTAACGGGTCCTTGACTCTCTTTAACCCTAATAAAATGGGGTTTTGGAGGTTTCTTAATAGGGTAAGGTCGAGTTTGGAAATGAGAATAAAAGACTTATAGGGTTCGGGCCAGGTATGGAAGAGGATAATCCTTAGGGATGGCAATTTAAACCCGGCCCGATAGGGACCCAATCCCTCGACCCCGATTGGAACGGTTTTTCCCCGAAATTTATCCCCATAGGGCCAGGGATGGTATTAAAAATCTGATCCCCGATGATTTTCGGGCCGGGGACGGGGATAGATTTCCCAACCCCAGCCTCGGCCCCGCCCTCGCCCCGCTCGTCCCCGACTGATAATATGTATATTATATGTTTAGGGTTAGGGTTATTATAATATGTATATTATATTATATGTTAGGACCTCTGCCACTCAGTTTAGTCTGTCTGTCTCTCATCTCTCTCTCTCTCTCTCTTAAAGCCTCTCCTCTCTCCGATCTCCCTCCTTCCCTCTGATCATCATCACTGCCTCACGCTGATCTCCCTCCCTCCCTCCGATCTCCCTCCTTCCGACCTCACTGCCTCACCCCGATCTCTGTCACTGCCTCCCTCCGATCTGTGTCTGGGATGCCAAGAGTCGTCCTCAACGCCGATCCTCGTCCTCGACGCCGATCGTCCTCTCTGCAACGCCGATCCTCTTTTGTCGTTCAAACAGATTTTTGTGTGTATGTTACATGTGTTTAGACAGTATGTATATATACAAATTTTTTATTTTTATTACACAGGTATAAATATATACACAATATGGTGTTGTATATAGATTTGTACGTGTATGGTGTTGAAATAGATTTTTTTATGTATGGTGTTGAAACAAATTTTTCTATGTATATATATTACACAGCATGTGTTGAAACATATCTACTCTTTTTTTGAACGGAATTAATAATAATAATAACTCTACTCTGTCCAACCATTGCACCACCCCCTTGTCACTCTCAATCATCACCACTTAAGAACGGCAAAATACCCTGACCTAACGGGTCCTTGACTCTCTTTAACCCTAATAAAATGGGGTTTTGGAGGTTTCTTAATATGGTAAGGTCGTGTTTGGAAATGAGAATAAAAGATTTATAGGGTTCGGGCCAGGTATGGAAGAGGATAATCCCACGCCACCATCCTGACCCAATTATGTGTATTATTAAACAAATGTCTCATTTTTGACATAATTTTATTGTTTTTTAATGATATAAAATTAACTTTAATATTTTTTCTTTCTATTTTATGTTTTTCTTAAAATCACACTTCTTCTCTCTCTATTTATTTTATGATTTCCACTAAGGTCTTATTTGGAAATTGACTGCTTTAGTTAACTTTTTAATTAATTTATTATTTTTTTAAAAAAAATGTGTAAAAAAATAAAGAGAGAGTGATGTGACAACTTTACTGACTTTTTAACTTTTTTTAGCCAAATGTCGAACAAGGCCTAAAATCAACACCAATAAAGTTAGGGTGCTGTTTAAGTGTGCAACCCCCTTAAGGTTGCACACCATATGCAACCCAATTGTTAGCCGTTAGATTACAATAATTGATTAAGACCATTGAATTGTTTAATCGTGAAAAAGTTGAAACCGGGGCAATCGGTTAATGCTTGTAATTGCATGATTGCATCCCACTCACTCTCTGTATTTCGTCTCTATCTCTCTCTGTTCTCCTCTCTGTGTAAGGTTGAGTCAGTGTAACCCTTGATTTCCATTAACAGCGAAAAGCCCCTGCTGGGTTGGTTCCATTGACGAAGCTCTGTAAGGAACAGTATAACGGGCAATTTCTAACAACAACGGAACTACAAGGCTGTGTTGGTTCCATTGCTGAAGTGAAGCTGTTCTCTCCAACTAGATATGAGGTATGGAGTTGTCTCCCTCTCTCTCTCTCTGGCCTCTTCACTTCAGCTATTTTCTCTCAACTAAACCCCCATCCTAACTTCAACCGCTCTACGCTTTGCTGAAACGAAAACCCCTCCATTGGCAACTAACCTTTCTCTTTCTCAAACGAGTGTTTGTGTTTGCACAAACAACTAAACCGTGTGAAAATGTCATGTTTGTGTTTGTGTTAACATTTTTCGGTCATCAAGTAATTGTTTGTACTAATGTCATGTGCAGTATGGCCCCAGCGGAAGTTAAAAGGGAAGGTGATGATTATTTATCATGGTTACGAAGCTGGTCCGAGCAATGAAGAAGCAACCAACATGAACGTTGAAGATGGCGGAGCCAATGTGAAAAAAGAAATTGTTGACGATGCTCATCGCAATGACATGATTGGTGATGTTGAACGTGCTATTCTGGAACAGAAATTTGATTCGGTCGAAGATGGAGAAGCTTTCTATAATGCGTATGCTAAAGCCAAAGGGATTTAGTATACGAAAATCCAGATTTAACACAAATAAAGAGGGAAAGGTTGTTAGTAGGCTGTGATTGTGTTCAAGGGAAGGTTAGAGATTACCAAAATACTTGGACCGTGTTGCTGAGAAGAGTAGAGCTCCTAAGGCACTAACAAGAGTAGGTTGCAAAGCTCAATTTCGCATACGGTACGATGCAGATGCTGGTGAAGGGGGAAAATATGTTGTGACTCACTTCATCGCAGACCACAACCATGAATTGGCAGAACAACACTGCGTGATGCATCTGAGGTCACATCGCAGTTTAAACAGCGCTGACAAAGCTCAAGCAATGGCTATGCGCAACGTTGGTGTGAAGACTAGCCAAATCATGGACTATATGGTAAATCAATCCGAGTCTTATGAGAATGTTGGTTTCATCCGTACGGATCTGCACAACCATATTCAAGCCGAACGTAGAGCGGAAGTTGAGGATGGTTATGCGTAGGGTGCGTTGGTTTACCTATGTGCAAAACTTGATGTTGATGCACGTTTTTTTTACAAGTATGATGTGTGTAACGATAACAAGTTACAAAATCTGTTTTGGGCAGATTTGAAATCGCGGGCCGACTACGCAAAGTTTGGTGATGTGTTGATATTTGACGTAACTTACCGAACCAATGCATACAAGAAACGTTTTGTCATGTTGGCTGGTGTGACTAGCCACTTTAGGACCACGATATTTACATGTGTTTTGCTAGCTAATGAGATAATTGATACATACACATGGGTTTTGGAAACATTTATGGAGGCGATGGGCAATAAAGCACCTGTGTCCATACTGACAGATGGGGATAAGGCGATGCCAGAGGCAATCAGAAGAGTATTTCCAGACGTAAGACATCGATTATGTAATTGGCATCTTGGGAAAAATACTGTTTCAAATGTTCACGAAAGTGGCTTTGCATATGCTTTCAAGCAGTGCATGGACATGGAAACGGATAAGACAAAGTTTGAGCATGGCTGGACGACAATGGTCAAAAAATTTGGACTTCAAACCAACAGTTGGGTGTTGGAGACATATGAGAAGCGTCATATGTGGGCTGAGGCATATATGCGTGGACATTTCTTTGTTAGGATAAAGAGCACTCAGCGCTCGGAGAGTATGAATGCTTATTTCAATCCCTTTCTTTAACACAAATTGAAGCTATATGAATTTGTTAGGCACTATGATCGGGCTCTTGCAAGGATAAGGTATAACGAGGTTGGAGATGATGCTGAAACAAATAACACTTTTCCGGTATTGATTACTCCATTGCGAGATATAGAGAGACATGGAGCTGAGCTATTCACCCGAAATATATTTAGAATGTTCCGTGATGAAATCTTAGAAGAGGGGAAGTCGAATGTCAAAGACGTGTTCCCTTTGCCGGATGGTCAGAAATGCTTCTATATTCATAAGTACAAAGTGAAGGATAGATCATGGATAGTAACACACAGTCCAGTGGATGCTGCAATGAGATGTTCTTGCATGAAGTTTGAGTCGTTGAGGCTACCTTGCTGTCACATGATATGTGTTATGAAAGCCGAAAATTTAATGCAAATTCCCCCAACTTGTATGCTGCATAGATGGACAAGGGCTGCAAGCAAGGATGGCCAACAATGGCCTCAACCTTCAATTGATAGCACTACAACACAAACAGCCCGATGTGGGATATTGAGTTCTTTTTACAATGAAATGTGTTTCTATGCCTCGCAATCAACGGAAGGTTTCAAAGAGGCTAGAGATGCATGTCTTCCGATGACGAGCCGGATGAAGGAGTTATATGAGAGAAATTTGAACGATGGGAATGGAGACAAAGGGAAACATTCATTCCCTCGACAATTTGGAGTAGAAAATCCTGATGTTGTGAAGACAAAAGGGAACCCGGGACGGGCCTCGTCCAACTGTTGAAGACCAAGAAAATGTGGGAATTGCAAATGCATTGCGCACACAAAGTGAATGTGTCCTAAGGTTCGGTTTAGCCGAACAGTGGGTAGTAACTCAGATACAGATACAACCCACATAACTGACCGTGAGTACAATGCAGAATCATTGCCCGTTCGCTGTAAAACTGGGTTAGTGGATCCAAGTACATCGCACATTAAGCAACGACGACTATTTTTCGAGGCTTCTCTTGATTCCAAGCAGCCTGTGGGCCAATACAGTAGTGTTGAAGTAGCAATGTGCAAAAATGATTCGACCACAATTGATGAGGTGAATCAGGTAATTGTATAATTTGTATGATTTACTTGTTCCCTTAATTTATTAGGTAGACAGTACTAGCTATTGAAAATACATGTAAATAATGTATGTAGTTTTCATTTTGCACGGATTGCTATACGTAATGCGTAAATAATTGGTTACGTACAATGCCAGGATATGGTACAATGTTACTTATGTACAAGGCCACGAGTTGTAAATTTTCCATATTGTTTAGAGTGATGTTGTCATTTGTGTTTGCAGTGACTTGTCATTTTGAAAACTAATTGAAGATGAGATATATATGGGTTGTTTGTGTATTGTTTTGAGTTGGAAATTGGCTTATGTCTGTATTCCAAGATTCCTATTGCAGGTTGCTTGTTTCTGTTCCATATTTGGTTGGATCTAACTGAAGGGTTTTTTGCGGTATGGTTTATCAACTAACGATGTGTTTGGCTTCGTATTGATTTGTTATGACTTGTTTTGGTAAATTAGTATTATATTTCGAGTAAAATACGAATTTTGTCCATGTGGGTTTGCAAAATTACATCCCAGCACATACATTTTGTATATAATCCAAGTGGCAGTTAATTTTGGGTGTTACTTGGAGAAAGTAACCCAACGAACTCGTTACTTTATCTCCATGCTGATTGCTATATGAATTACGAGTTACGAACAGGAGTTGTGAAATTATTTCATGTTAACTATGAAAGTGATGGGTTTATTGTTAGTAAAATTATGGTGGGCCTATATCGACAGCAACGAAGTAGTAATTTAAAGTTGACAAGTTAATGAAGAAAATCAAGCAATTGTGGTATTGGTTCGAATGCCTAAACAGGATGAAGACTTCTTTCGATGAACTGATGGTAACAAAGTAGAAAGTAGAAAGTAGAAAGTAAAAAGTAAGTTGTTGTGTTGTTTGTAACAAAGTAGAAAGTAGAAGGGAAAAAACTACTCAGAAGTTACAATGTAGAAAGTAAGTTGTTGTGTTGTTGTTCATGTCCTCTCTCTCTGCAAACATTCTGTCCTTTATAGCTATTATTTCCCACGACCCCATGATTTGCCGATTCTGCAACTGCTTCTGTGCAACTTCTGTAACTGCACGGTCATTTCCGTGTCTTGAAACCATATAAAACCTTCACTTGTACCTGTCGAAGTGCATATAATTGAAGTTGCCACCTGTGCCCAAGTCATTATAGCCTTTTCTCGACAGATACAGCCTCCCAATTTGTTCATGTTTGCTCTTGGAGGCTGGCCACTAAATCCACGAGCACTGCCAGTAACTGCCCCACCGTGTAAGTCAGGTGGCATGCAAGATTCAATGTTAGTTGATAACCCTTGTCTTCAGGTGGACTTACCATGTGTCGTCAATTGAATGGAGCAGCTGTTGGCAGGATGTGGGAAAAATAGGTGAAAAGAGGAATTTTTTTAAAATAACCAATCATAATTTAGCTGAAAATATGAGTGAACTTTTTTTAAAAAAAAAGTAGTTTCCATTTTTATGATTATAAACCCGAGATGTATATTTTGTTTTCGATATAAATAAGTTGTGTATTTTGGTTACGTAAAATGTAGGACAACAATTGTGTTTAAGTCATTACAATCCAGAAAAAGGTTATTTCAAATATTAACAAGTTTACCGACATTGACTATATTTTGATTAAATTACAGGGAAAATTTAATATTTGGCAGAGTTTGACGATTCAAAGTTAGGGACAGTAACAGTGAGTGGCCAAGTGTTGTGGTTCAGTGGCCCAGTTTGCAAGGATTGTGGTTGTGTTTAGTGGAAAATATTCTGTCGATTTTTGTCTCATAATGATGACGGACATGCCCCACAATGGTGAAAAGGAAGGTCAACAAGGAAGAGTCAATATTTGGTAAAGGGGACTTGAAGATTCGAAATCAGGAGGCAGTTATGGTGTAGACGTGTGGGATCATGCAATGATGGGCCACAAAAACAGTATACGGATATCGAAACCAACGATCTCCCTTCTAGGCTTTCCAAGTGTACTAAACCTCCACTTCTATCTGTCGATCTCCCTTTTCTTGTGTTTATTTCATGGCCATGAACTGTTTGAAACTTCTGTCAACAGAGCAAGGCTCCTGCTTTGTCTCATGCTTCCTCTTGAAAGTGTGCCCACTAACTCCATGACTGGTGCTAAAAACTTTCCCCATCACTTCTAGGTGACCCACATGCAGAGAGCCCACTTTTAACTGGTGGACATTCCTTCAGACTTGGCCACGTGTCCTCGATTAAATGGACCATCTGTTGATAGAGACTGGCAAAACTTGGTGCAAACAATGGCCCCCTTGTTCAAGTTAAATATCATATGAATTAACCTTGCGGAAGTGATTAAGACCCCCTCCAATCGCCACCTGCACCACCACCTCACACCCCCCACACACACACGTGGGGGCTAGTGATTAGAGGAGAAAGAAAAAAAAAAAGAAAAACTGGCCAATAAGAGAGAGAGGAGGTCATGGGGGTGCCCCCCTTGTAGTGGTCCAAGTCATATGATATTTAACTTCAACAAGGGAACCCTGGCCCAATAGCAAATTTCTTAATACGGGCCCAAAACAAACATAAACTACAGCCCAATATAAGAGCATTTACATATACTGGCCCCCATCATAAGCTATAAAAGACCCACCTTTCAGCTTTAAACCACTTCATTTCCCTCTGATTCGAACTCCTCAGACTATACTCCTTCTTCTCAAGCATTGCTGTTTCAAACCACAGCACCACAAAACCCTAAGCCATGGCGCCGAAAAAATCTCAACCATCTCCATTTGAAGAGAACAATGAAGACCTACTCCGCTTCCCAGACCCTATCAGAGCACATATCGCTCCTCTAAAATTTGGTATTACCCTATTTCCCAATACAAGCTCTGTCGCGAAGGCTACTCTAGGCCCTACCTTCGCGTCTTACTTCCTAGACGAGTTAGCTCCATACTATCCCCTTGGTAATGGTGAGAACCTTCTTCTCAACCAACCTGGACTTAAGTGGACTAACTGGAATGTCAGCAAAAACCCACTCAGAACGTGGAGGTCACCAGAATCTGTTTGGTGAAGTTGGGCCAGGAGAATTGAAGGTCATGACGCTGAAGTATGGAAGCACCAGGGCATTAGTGAAGCAATTAGACTGTCGACTAAAAATTATGACATGGACAAAGGGTTGATTACTGCTGCTGCATGCTTTTGGTCGCAATCTTGTAACTCCTTACTCCTCAATTTCGGTATGATTTCCCCTACCATCTTAGATGTAGCTCACTTGACTGGTCTCCCAATCTTGGGCAATCCAATTCATGCTCTCATTGAGCCTCAAAAAGTGACCTTTACTTAAACACTGACATGTGCTATATAGATTTCGCCAAAAAATACAAAGGCCAGCCTGGTTCCCCTGTCTAGGACAAAGAAAGAACTACTTTTTATTTACTTTGGCTTTGTGAGTTTGTTTTTTGTGTCCCTAGGTACAAGATCACGAACGAATACCTCCCCCTTGCCTTGTGTATGCAAGATGGCCAACTTACGGCTTTAGCCCCTTATCTTCTTGCCACCCTTTACAAGGCTCTATTTTCCTTTGTCGACAAGAAGATTTCTGGCAACTGTGGTGGCCCCTTCTGGCTCTTCCAGGCCTGGTTGTATGCCTATTTCCCTAAGGCACGACCTCCACCAGCTAACACCTTGAAACCAGTTTTTCACTCCTATGCTGAGCAATTGCTCACTTATAATAGCTAACCCATCCTCACTTTCAGAAATCATCTTACCATGTTTTACAACCTTCCTTCGAAGAGACCTTCCAACTTGTACATGCCATTTCAAAATTATCAATTCTCCTCCAATAGACTTCGCTTCCTCTTCATAGACCCTTGTGATTTACACAATGAGCAAATCCAAGAACAAAATGAGACTTGGAGACACATTCTCACCTCTAGACATGTCTTGGTTGGCT